GTATTGGGCAGGGGGAGGGGCATGACCCTTGGCTGGCATTCTCTGGAAACCTTACCTTCCTTTCTGCCTAACACTCACGTAAGGGAAACAGTTACAACAGAGCTTAGCTATTCGGGATCCCGTTTGCTTTTTCGGCTAATTTATGAGATAAGAGGTTGTTAAAGAATGCATATTGGGAAAGATGGGCAGAATAGCTTAAAAGGAAGAACAGATGTGTAGGGGGGAAGGATGGACTTGGACGGGTGGCTTGGCAGCTGCTGGAGAACTTTAATAAGGCTGAAAGGGGGTGATGGTGGAGACAATTAAAAGCACAGAGCGGAGGCAAGAAATGCAGAGAGGTGAATAAGACACTCTAATGTTGGTAAAACTTAATAAGGTTTCAGTGCACCACTGAAGCCAAGAATTAAATAGATTAAATACAAAGGAACCATGTCTCTCCCTCATTTGAAAAGGTGGAGACGAAACCGCCTCCTTTCATGAAAAATTTGTAATGCACAGCAATTGAGAATTGGCACTCAATTTGTTTTGTGGAAGTTAAAGCAGATAAAGGACTTGAGTCTGATTGTCTCGGGTGGTGACCTGTAGTGAAATGGTTGTTTTTGCTGCCTCTTGTTACTGAGGCCAGGAAGTCTCAGAGTATATACAACATAAGCATTTTATTGTTATATGATGATTAATGTTTGTTTAAGCACAGGGTAAGTTTGTTTCTGGAGGCGTGTGGGTATTTTGAGGATAGTAATAATCTGTTGTTCCTACTGTAGGGGTTTTTGTTTAGCAGTTGCAGCATCACTTGTAGGCTTTTGCAAATGAATTTGCATTTTGAGCCAGGTCAATAAGGATGCCTTCAGATAAGGCTTTTATTGTGAAATTATTTAACTCACTTATGAAAGTCTAAATCAGTGTTTCTCAACCTGTGGGGTGGTGAGGGGGTGTCAGAAGGGTCTCCAAAGACCATCAGAAAACAGTATTTTCTGTTGGTCATGGGGGTTCTGTGTGGGAAGCTTGGTCCTATTCTATCATTGGTGGGGTTCAGAGTGCTCTTTGATTGTAGGTGAACTATAAATCCCAGCAACTACAACGCCCAAATGTCAAGGTCTTTTTTCCCCAAACCCCACCAGTGTTCACATTTGGGCATATTGAGTATTCATGTCAAGTTTGGTCCAGATCCATCATTGTTTGAATCCACAGTGCTCTCTGGGTCTAGGTGAACTACAACTCTAAAACTCAAGGTAAATGCCCACCAAACCCTTCCAGTATTTTATGTTGGTCATGGGAGTTCTGTGTGCCAAGATTGGTTCAATTCCATTGTTGGTGGAGCTCAGAATGTTTTTTGATTGTAGGTTAACTATAAATCTCAGCAACTACAGCTCCCAAATGATGAAATGACCCCCCCCCCCAATTGGCGTATTGGGTATTTGTGCCAAATTTGGTTCAGTGAATGAAAATATATTTTGCATATCAGATATTTACATTAAGATTCATAACAGTAGCAAAATTGCAGTTATGAAGTAGAAATGAAAATAATTTTATGGTTGGGAGTCACCACAGCATGAGGAACTGTGTTAAGGGGTCACAGAATTAGGAAGGTTGAGAAACACTGGTCTAGATTATATGTAACCCTCCTGTGTTTTTCCTTTTTTTTTTCTTACCACATGAAAATCCATTGTGAAGAAAAAGACAGAGTAGTGGCACAATGTTTTTTGGTTGATAGCCCTAGGAACCATCCATTTGGAAACACTTAGGAAATGTCACTGTATACCTCGCCCGTTTGAATACCCGAAAAGCTGAAGAAGTCAATAGTTTTTAATTGCCTTTTTGATGTTGTTGTGTTAACCTTTACTATGTAAACCGCCTTGAGTCGCCATTTCGGCTGAGAAAGGCGGTATAGAAGTAAAGCAAATAAATAAATAAATAAATAAATAATAGTTTAGATGCATGGACTATTAAAATATATATTTAGAATACTGGTTTTGTTCTTTGTCATTAGAATCATAGAATAGAATCATAGAAAATCATTAAATCATAGAATCATTAAAACAGAGAATGACTCCCACATTTTAAACAAGATACAGACAAATTGGAGTAGATTCAGAGAAGGACAACAAGGATGATAAGAGGTTTTGAGAACAAAACAAGAAAACATATAATGAAATGTTGAAGGAGCTGGCCATCTTCAGCTTGGGGAAGAGAAGATTGAGAGATGACATGGTTGTACTCTTTAAATATCATAAGGGATGTGTCAAAGAGGAGGGGACAGGCCTGTTCTCTCCTGACTCAGAGGGTAGGACCAAATTTAATGTTTTGAGTAATAGGAGGATAGATTTTGGGTTGTAGGTTTTTTCGGGCTATATGGACAGTTTCTAGAGGCATTCTCTCCTGACGTTTCACCTGCATCTATGGCAAGCATCTTCAGAAGTTGTGAGGTCTGTGAGAGGTTGTAAGGATCTCACAACCTCTGAGGATGCTTGCCATAGATGCAGGCAAAATGTCAGGAGAGAATGCCTCTAGAACATGGCCATATAGCCCGAAAAAACCTACAACAATCCAGTGATTCTAGCCATGAAAGCCTTCAACAATACAGGATAGATTTTGATTGAACACAAGAAAGACTGTCTTGATGTAAAAAGTGATTCAGCAGTGGAATCAGTTGTCAAGAGGGGGTGGCAGGGTCTTCTTTTTTCTGGACATCTTAAGGGGAAAAAAAGGCTGAACACAGCTACTTGCTGGGGATACTTTCGATAAATGTCACCCAAAGTCTAGTCTTTTTAGAGTTTTAAAGTTCAGCTCCTAGAATCCCAAATAATTGGCCAAAACAGCTGAGGATTCTGGGAGTTGAAGTCCAAAATAATTGGAGGTCTAGAGTTTAAGAATCACTGCTTTAGATGGAGGTACTGCATTGAGCAAGAGATTGAACTTCATGCTCTAACCGTGCCTGTTTCAACTCTATGATTCTGTGATTTTACCTCCCATTCTATATCCTTCCTGAATCTCATATTCCTGCTTTGATCCATTTTAGAGCCAGAATAGTGGCTTACCCTTATCCTGTGTTAGGTATGTCTTCTTCACACAGTTCAGAACCTCAGTTGAACTTAAACACAAGTCCCCTGGCAGTGGTTTCTTTCTTTAGTAGATTGGTATGGGAATGTACTAATGCAAACTTTATATTTTCTAACTTGTCTAGGCTTTCCCTGAATATATTGATTAGAATTCATTTTCTTATCATTCTTATTTACTCCCAGGCAGCACATGCATTGACTAAGATACCAGTGTGTACCTATGGGGGTGGGGTTCTAATGACAGGATATGAGATCAGGTGCAGTTGAGTGGGAAAGCGAGGCAATCCCACAGTAAATTGGTAAATAGCAGTAGCAGTTGTTATAACTGCATTGAGGAAGGTGTTTCTCTATATCTTCCTTGGAAAAAAAATGACATTGGGTACCTGGGTGGGAAGGTGATGAGGGTAAACAGAGAGCTGGGAGGATACTCTCATATTTCCTTAATTGGGGATTTAGGCCAACCATCTATATTCCAGGTTTCCTGTACCAGTGTTATGTATCCTGGAGCAATTTCAGTTATTTCAGGGGGTTCTGAACAGAGGTGAGGACCATGCAGCCCCCAAATGTTGTTAAACTACCAGTCCCAGTTCCCTAGCCAGCATTGCCAGCCATGAGGAACACTGGGAATTGCAGTCCAATAACATCTGAAGAGATGTATAATTTTTACTCCTGTACAATGGCATTTTATAGTGGTCAATGCTGGAAAGTTGTTTACCCAGACTATATGGCTTTGACCATATCTTACTGGTTTCATGGCCACCTGTTTGGAGTACTTGGATTGTTTGTTCTTGTGTGTCAGAGGGTTGGACTAGAGCAGTAGCTCTCAACCTGTGGGTCCCCAGATGTTCTGGCCTTCAGCTCCCAGAAATCCTAGCAGCTGGTAAGCTGGCTGGGATTTCTGGGAGTTGTAGGCCAAAACACCTGGGGACCCAGAGGTTGAGAACCACTAGACTAGAGGGTCCTTGTGGTCTCTTTCAACCCTATGATTCTACTTAGGTCCACACTTCCCTGAAAATACAATTTTGTAAACAGAATCAGTTTAATTAAGTTATACTGAGGTTGCCAGTTACCCATCATTACCAATTATAACGCTTAAGACTACTGTAATTAGTTTTGTTATTCAAATGCACTAGGAGCTTCATGCTGTAATGAGTGTTATAATTCAAAGGCACCAGGACCTTTCATACCTACAGGGCCTTGGCTTGGTGTGCTTCCCAGTAATGGCACAAAGCAGCCTATTCCTCTTAAAGACAGTGTTGGTTCCTTTGTGGTTTAATGCCTTCTGCGGTCTTATTCACAATGCCCATCATTTTTCATTTACTCAAATAGGATGTTTCTTTCAGAGGCAGGTGCTTTACTGATTCCATTCAGTGATGTACAACAGCTCCTTTCTCCACTTGATCTTATAGTTTAGAAGTCTTCTCTTTTAACCTGCACTTATGGCTTATTTTTTGTGTGTAATGGTTTTCTGGGGTGAGTCTGTTGTCCTTGAGTTGCCACACTGGACAACATACTTAGCTGGCTTCCAGGCATCTTACTCACTTCACCTCTTTCTTTGCTACTAAGAACAATGAGCTTCTAGGTAGGTTCAGAATCAGTTGGCTGATGTAGCTGCCAAGGTACCCTAAGGGCCTGAAAGCAAGATGATAGAAGCTTTTGCATGGGATGTGGCAAAATTTTGCTGAATTTTAGGAACTTGCATTCAAAAAGCATGCCAATGCATATTTCAAATTCTCTTTTTGGGGTTCAGGTCTTCTGAGTTAACCTTTTGTGATTCTTAGAGGTCCTCCTTTGGCTAGTGCTGTGTCAGGAACGTAAGAGGCTTTTCTGCAAAGTACTTTGCTTAGTGGAGGAAGCTGGTGACAGAAGGGTCTTGGGGAAGCTGGTACAGTACAAACACATGACTGGCCCCTCTCGGTAATCCCTTTGCAAGCCCAAATCCCAGTGTGTGCCTAATCAGACTGAGATGCTGTAGAGAGGTGGCAGCCTCCCTGCCTGACAGTCACCTCCACACTCCCCCTCCCTGCCTCTCCGAAAAGGAAAAGAAAAGCCTGGAGGTAGCAATGCTGTGATCCAGACCAGACCCGAGAAACAGCATAATGGGATGGTAGAGTGGGATATTGAGGACGTGCCTGGAGTGTGATACTTTGGGTGTCACTGCCATCAGAATGCGTTGGATCAGAACAGGTAAATGCATTGAGGAACGTGGCATGTTCCTGGTGGACCTCCAATACCCGTTGTTGGACTGTGCTTCTTTTCTTGCTCATTTACATCTTGCTCTGGATCCTGGTTAGAGAGGGAGGGACAGAGCAGCATGTATTCAGTAATGTAGACTCCAGGGTACTTCTGAAAAAGCAGGGACTGGGGAAAACACAGAGGACACAGAAAAGGTTGCATGTCACCTATTTTAATGATGCTGCAAGAAAGAGGCCTTTCAAGAAATGGCTACAGGGAGGATATGCCAATCAAATATGTAGTAGGGTTTTAACTCAAATGACAGGAAACCCTTTCCTCGTATGCATTGCCACGTCTCAGGGCTAGTTGACTTACAAGGATTTTACTTAATTGGGATTGAGGGAAAGGAAGGAGGCTTGTGGATTGTGGAGTCAAGCTGTAAATGCTGGCAGGAGAAATAAGACTCCTGGAGTTTGGTGAATGCTGTGTATGTGCGATAATAGAACATGGTTGGGTTAAGGAAGAGACATAGATCCTTCCAGCAAGATCTATTGGACAGTTCATTCTGGAAGGCCTGGGACATGCCCTAGCTAGAGTCAGCTCTAGGAAGTTCTGAGTTATAGAGGAACCTTTGGATTTTGGAAAGGTGAAATGGAATCTCAATACCAGAGGCTTTGCTGATTTAACCATACTTATAATGTTTTATAGGAATGAAAATGCATGAAAATCATTCTCAGAGTTATATTTTGCTGGGCAATTATTTGCAAGAAAATATTGACCATGCAAAGGAAGGAGCTTAAGTAAGCTCTTCTTTCCACTGGGATCCTCTCCTGCCCTCCCCTGACAACTGCAGCCTTATTCATGACTGAATTTCCAAAATAATTCCTCCAGCTTCTTCATTATAGTTCAGAGCTGGGGTTCATTTTGGCCTCTTTCTCACAGGTGATAGTTTTGAATGGTTTCCTGATTAAAGGAACCCTTTCTGCATAAGTTGTGGTTGCCAAGAAGAAACTCCTATGTGTTGTGGAAGTTTCTGGGAAGTTATTCCAGTCAGACTCTTGAGTCACGTTAGTCTTCAGAGTGCAGTTTGGAAGCATCTGCTCATAAGGCATCCAAAATCTTCTGATCCCCAATGAAGGATAAGCTCCCTAGAATTCAGTGAAAATTGGGTGTGTTCGATAGAGAGTAGTGCAGGATTATTTTAGTTGCAGTTTTTACTTTTTGCTAACCAGTGTAAGAACTATTATAAAGACTTCTTGCATAGCTAAGTTTATCCCCCACATCTGACATCCCATTTCTGGTCTTTTGAGAAAAAACAAACTCTCGATCCATCTAAGCTGACCCTTTCTTAGGTGTGGGATGCCAGCTTTTTATAGTTTCTGACAAAATTATTTCCCAGGTATTGGACCAGGCAAAGCATTTGCTCTTCTGTGGAGTTATGGCCCTTTTCCAAGCTTATATAGGAAACTACTTTAGACCAAGTCACATGATTGTTCATCTAGTGCATTGTTGTCTATACTGGTTGATGGTGGCTCTCTGGGATTTTAGACATTAGTTTGCCTAGCTTCACTTGAAGATAGCAGGGATTGATACATGTTCTGCTACTAAACTGTTATTCTTTCCCATAGTAATTTATATGCATTGCCAAAAATGTCAAATTTTGCACTGCTTATTGAGCAGTGCAAACAAAGTGGTTTTGCACAGATGCTCCTTTGCATAATTTATTATGTTTCTAGCCACAGTTCAATGAACCCTACTCTTTTACATCTTGGAGGTACCCTTGACAACACTGAGGAGACTTTTCTACCTGCTTTCAAAGCCTTAAGGTCTCAGAACTTGCCCAGCAGAAAAAGCTGAGAGATTCTCCGGATGCCCTTCTCCTAATCCAATACAGAGGTATTAGAGCAGGGGTCTTCACACTTTTGAAGCAGAGGGCTAGTTCACAGTCCCTCAGACTATTGAGAGAGGGGATTATAGTTTGAAAAAAAATGTACAAATTCCTATGCACACTGCATATCTCTTATTTGTAGTCCAAAAGAAAATATGAAAGAACAATACAACATTTAAAATGAAGAATAATTTTAACCAACATAAACTTACCAGTATTTGAATGGGAAGTGTGGGCCTGCTTTTGGCTGATGAGATAGTCAAGGTAATTAGGATTGTTGTTGTTGTGTGCCTTCAATTCATTTCAGACTTAGGATGATCCCAAGTGTAAAGTTCAGGAGGAGGGCTGGGTAAATAACCTTGGAGAGCTGCATCCAACCTGCAGGTCTTAGTTTGGGGACCTCTGTATTAGAGTATGAATTGTTATTTACTGGCAAAGTCCTATTCTTGTTCCCTTTTCACGTTCCTCTCTGACTTCTTATATTAGAAACAGAGGTGAAACGGTGTTAAATAAACATGGTTTTCTTGCAGATATACTTTTTAGATGTGTTCTGTGCTTGAATTAGTATACATTATTGTATATCCTTGTGTACCTTCATGGAGTGAAAACGATGTAAGATTGTTTTTCTGAAATATATTTTGGTTGGGAAGCTGTGATTTTGTCCTCAATGTGTGCACAGTGCTCCCTTATAACTAGAAGCAAACTAATTGTAACCAGCTTTGGGGTTGCTTGTCTGCCACTGACAATCTCCTTATTATAGATCCTACCTGGTAGGTTTCCATAGAACACCAACTGAAATGGCATATCTAAGGCATCAAAGAAAAAGTTATGGAATTAAGAATATTCTCCTTTAATTGAAATGCTAGTTTATCTATAAATAGAGCATGGCTGCCATTCCAGGTGGAATATATGCTACTAGCAGTTATTGATTTTATATCCAAACACACCAGCATCATGCTGCTGGTGTAATAATCCCGTCCCATTTTTTTTCATCCTGAATGGACACCTGTGAGCTTATGTGGTTGGTAGAGTATTCTGGGTAATTCTGTGCTTCCTTACAAAGATGTTGTTGATTGGCTGGGTCTTTGCCCTTGGACTTTGTGCTCTCTCTGATAAGAACCCCAATGAGCTAAATGAAGCTGAGGAATGATTAACTCAGCGACTATGGTGCCAGAGAACAGGAGGGAAAAAGGAGTGGTTGTTCTGAGACAGATACAAGACCCTAGTGTTGTTATTGGTTACAATTTCACATAGCATCACCCCGCTATCTAACCAAGTTTGCCTAACTCCTCAGGTGCTTCTGGAGAGCAAACCATCCCTCTCCTCTATCATTCATTTGCTACAAGAGAAAACGTTATGATTATGTAATGTTACAAGATCACCAAGTAGATAAAGGAGATCAAGGCCACTTGAGAAGGGCACGTGCTAGAAAAGAAATGCATTTTCATCCTCTCCTGGTTTGGGTAGACATTGTGCCCCAAATTACTCATTTTTGCATGAGCACAATTCTAGTCACCTTATTAGGAAAAATGTTGCATTTTCCCTATAACAACAATGTGTGACTCCTTTCAAGCACTTCAGAATTTGCCTAACAAAAATGTTGAGATTTCCAGGATGCTCTTGTTCCTACTCTAATAAGAAGTATTCTAGTATGAATTGTTATATTTAGGTAAGGTCCTGGTCTTCTTGGTGTCTATAGTGAGTCACTATCTAAAGTTGTATCCTTTTTTCCAGTTACAGTAGAGTCTTGCTTATCCAACATTCACTCATCCAATGTTCTTATTATCCAGCGCAATTCAGGGTGGGAGAAAGAAAGAACCCTTCTCTGTTTTGGTGCTAAATTTGTAAATACTGAAATTACTACATAACGTTACCATGTATTGAACTGCTTTTTCTGTTGATTCATTGTAAACATAATGTTTTTGTGCTTAATTTGTAAAATCATAATGTAATCATAACATAATTTGATGTTTAATAGGCTTTTTCTTAATCCCTCCTTATTCTCCAACATTTTCGCTTATCCAACGTTCTGCTGGGCTGTTTATGTTGGATAAGCAAGACTCTACTGTCCTTCATTCTCCTTTCCCTGACCACAAGGAAAGGACATGAAAAACCAAAGCATAACTGTATTTTGTTTCACATATTAACTTGCAAAGTGCAAATTTGGGCAGGTGTTATCAAAATGCAAACTAAGCATAATTCCTCACCATACCAATATACTGAATACTGTCTCTATGTCGCAGTTTCACCACAGCGTAAACATCTGATTTTGTTCAGTTGAATGGGATTTGCTTGTCCAATGAACAAAGGCCGAACTGGGAAAGATAAGTGAAGGCAATAGATAGGTGACCTCACACATAGCAACCATGATGGCAAAATACAGTGTTCCTGTTGTCACTTTTTTCTATTGTGTGCTGGCCAGGAACATTTATCTTGTCTTTGTATCAGAGAAGCCTGGATTGTTCAGATAGAACTAACTGTGATGCATATACTAAGTCCCAATCTGTCCTTTAGTGTAAGTCCCTGTGAACTGTTGTTGGACCAGTCATCTCCCACTGAGCACTGACCTACAGTAAACTCATTGTATATTACTGGGTAGGTTATTTTGTTTCTTCCTGCTAATTGATTCTTCTAACTTACAAATGATGATATCTCTTGCTGATGAGCCATGGTTTACTCTGAATAATTTCTGCTGCACGCTCCAAAGAATGAGGAAACTGTGTGTTGCCAAGGAAGGGATACCCACTCTTTTATGTGGCTTGTAACATGATCCCTCACATTGGCTGCTTATCTAGTTGAACTTTGTCTGATAACAGCATCATGACTTAAAATGGCAGGAGAGAAAAAAGGAGTCTCCAAGTCTGTAGCTGTAAAATACAAGTGCAAGTGACTGCTTATTTTGTTTCCTTTTTCCCCTTAGGAATGGAAAAGTGCACATGTGTGTGTGTGAAATATTTTAAAACATGCACTGGATTTGCTGCCGCAAAACATCTGAATCTGATATTCTGTAAATACTTAAATCATTGTCAAAATAAAAGCAAAATAATGACATTTTATCATTACCCCTCAGTTTACAACATAGAGAGGTGTATTTTTTTTAAAAAATGGGATTCATGATGGTAAA